TTGGCGTAGTTCTTGACGTTGTTTTGGACCCAAGCGTTGGCATTGTCCTGGCTGGCGGCAATGCGTTGGAGATCAGTGTTGGGGACGCCGAGCATGACCTCAATGTTGGTGCCTCGGAGGGCTTGGAGCGCAGCTTGATCCGGATCATAGAGTCTCATCCTTCTGATGTTGTATTGGTTATAGAGAGCTATGACAGCTGGGCGGGTCGGTAGGTTGTTGCCAAGCATGCCATAACAAACACCAATTTGGGCACCTGCATAAGATTGAATTCAACGACAACTTATATGTTAACCATTATTTTAATTTTTCTTAAATTAACTTTCGGTGGTGGTTATTCTGGTGTTGTTAAATTTGAGAGAATCAAAATTAAAAACAAAAAATAACAATATGCATAGAAATGTTAAATAATAAGGTTTTGTTGAATATGATTATAAGTGTTTAGTTTTGATTGTAATGCCTTTTGTCTCAAAATAATTAATTTTTTAGTTTTTTTTCTCAAATTAAGAATTAGGAGACAATTTTATATTTATTTAAAATACCTTTAAAAAAAAAAGATAAAGAAAGACTTTTAACAATTGGATAATTAATTAAAGTGAATGGATAATGATAAAATTAAAGTAGGAAAAAATTTTATCTATCTTAAAAAATAAAAATTAAAAACTGAAATTAAAAAATAAAAATGCCAGCTTATTGAGTAGAAGCTTTTGGAACTAATACTTAAAACTAAAAAATTAAGTAATTTATAGAATTTGTTAATTTTATTTTAGAGTATCTAAATTTCTAAAAGGCCAAACAAAAATTAAAAATTACAATCAAACTAAATAAAGCCTAATTTTCTTTGTTCAATGAAAAATCAAAACAGATATATAGAGTGAGAGGTTACTTGTGGTGGAGAAGATGGCCATTAGAAGGCTGAAGAGTAGCATTGTTGAAGCCATGAAACCATGTTTGCTGGCTAAAGATTGTCTCTTAGCCATGATAACTGAAAGAGAGAAAGCTATATGTATTGATCAAAGGAGGGATGCACTGCCACACACTTCTTAGCTTGCCTTATATAGAGGCCTAAATTTGGTGGAAAAGTCTTCCACAAATGAAAGCTTGCGTCATTCAAAGTACTGGAAAATTGTGGAGAAAAAGGAAGTTGCGAAGAAATGTTTTACTCCCTCTCTTTAGTCCCGCTGTAAATAATTTGTGTTTGACGAAAAAGGAGGCATTAGAATTGAGGTAGCACCAAGATCGAGAAAAAAAAATTAAGGTAGCACATATTCATTTGGGAACACCCTAATATGTAATTTACGTAAAGGGAAGAAGAAATATTCCACTTCCTAATTATTAATATCAAAAAATAATTTACTGATAATATTTGTTAATAATAAAATCTTAAAATATGATGTGTTGATATTCTTTCACACATGCATTCTTGTACCAACTTGACTAACTCCCCAACATAAACAACCACAACTATAAAATATGGTTTAACATTTTTTTTCTTCCTTCTTTCAATACTAAACTTATTGAATTGACAAAAAGACAATGCAAGTCTCTTTCCTAATAACAATTCTATTATCCAAAGAAATCAAAATTAATTTCCACTTTTGAATTTAAAATTTCAAATCAATACACTTGACTCATAGACTAAGCTACACATTGGGGCTGTTAGGCAGATTTTTTTGAATTTGTTAAAAGTCAGTTTTATATGTCTTAAGTTTAAATTAGTTTTAGAGAAAAGGAGAATTTTAGCCAAAAAAAAAAAAGTTTATAAGTTTTTCAAAAAGTTCCAAACCCTGACTTTTTTCAAAAACTTGTTTAAAAATTATTTTTTTTTTCTAAAATCCAAGCTTTTCATGAATAAAATTTAAATTTCAAAAGATAAAAAAATATGAATTTTTAACTTAGAAAGAGCTAAGCCAACCAGCTCCCAAGTCTATCTTCTACATAAAATTACGGGTATCTCTCACCCATGACCTGCGGCACTCTTGATGATGGGTGCCTTCTCTTGACTGCAGTTCATTTGGTCAGAATGCCAATTAGAGGCGAGGATTTTTTTTATTTTTTTTTGTTTTTCTTACATCATATTATGAGTTATATGAGAGGGATATGTTTTTCTTTTTTTCCAATTTTCTTTTATTCAATTCAAAATTTGAACATGAATTTTTTTATTTAAAATTTCAATTTTTTAATTAATTAAGCCATTTTAAAGGATGAAGTGAGGACTATTGTATATAGATAATAATTTCTGTTTGTAGTTTTCTCAAGTGATAAAGATGGAATAGAATTATACGTCAGAGTACATATTTGAGTTCATCTATTTTTATTTGAATGTAAATAGTTTCAATAAAATTTGCTCATCACCATAAATATATTAATAATAATAAATTTTACAAACTAAAAGTATTTCATTATTTGAATTATATAACTTAAATCATTATATAAAAGTAAATTTCTAGTAGCATGTTTGATTTGATGGGAGGAGAGGAGAGGAGTAAACATTTTTCTATTTGGTTAGCAAAAATTTTAGAGGGAAGGAGAATGTTTTACTTTATCTTTCCAAATGGGCAGAGGAGATAAGGAAATAAAGGAAAACAGAAGGATGTCATATCCTTTCATTTTCTTCTTCTCTCATTACTTTTATTTCTTTCAAAACAAATATATTATTAATTTTAAGAGTTATTTTTTATTTAATAATTTATATTTTATGATTTGATACAATTTAAATTTAAAAAAACAACTTTAATTTTTATCAATATCCACGGCACTGCACAAAAATCTTAAACATAGCATTGCATTCATTGTTAATAAGGCACACAAACTTAGACCTTGAAATTTTAGACCGTCAATTGTACAGTGTATAATGTGGAAAATTGATGGTGCGTTTAATTGTTGTGTTCCTAAAGTCACAGCTAAGCAATAACTGATTTTGGAATTTTTAGTGACGCTGGCGGCTAAGATTTTTTAGCCACTCCGGCTGCTTGATTTGTCCGCCCGGAGACAACCACAGATTGTGGGATCAAGCGGTGGGGAAGAAGTTTTCAAGTCTGAAGAAGCGGGCGTCATCTCAAACAATATGGATATTCCCAAGATATTACGTAAATTGCTGGTATTAGATGCTCCATCAGTCTAGAGTTAAATATTTTTTATTTTATCTTTCAATTTATATTTTTACTTATATTATTTTTTTTCATGATCTTGATAGTACAATGAGAAGCAATCATCTTCCATCCTTTATCTTACCTCATCCACATATCATGTGACTTGAACTCAGAATCTCTTATTTTTAAAAAAAAGAAATGACTACTGAGTTACTTAACTTGTTAGTTTTTCTTATATTATTTTTAAAAAACCATATTAGTAAAAATAAAAGATAGTATTTTTTTTAAGAAAAAAAGTACAAATCAGTTTTGATTTCAAAAAAATAATTGAAGTCTCAATCTTAAATTATATCTTTTTTTTAATTAAAACTTAATTCAAAATTTAAAGTATTATTAATGAGTCTTCAAATTTAAATATCAATATTTAATATAATAAATTTTTAATTTTTAATTTTTAGATATAAAATGAGATTTCAATTATTTTTGGGAATCAACACTAATCCTCACAAAATGTAAAAAACGGTTGTACAACACAAAATGTATCAGACCGCTTTAAGCAGAAAGCTTTCTATTTAATGAATAATATTATTGCAAATAGATATATATTTTTAATGGATGATTTTGCCCAGGGGTTTATATCCGGCCCGTAATCCGTTCAGCATAATCTTAGCCTTTGCTGGTGTGGATTCTTTTGGGCCTTGGTATTGGATCGGGCCTAAGAAGTGGCCTGGTCTTGTAGCTAGGAGTCTAGCAGATTGAATAAACTGGTTTCCTATTGAATTTTAACTTTTGGACGTGATTATGAATCTCTATTGGAAATTTTTAAATGCAGAAGTCTTGGAGATGAGCATATGTGGCAAGCGCCGCACCATTTATGTGAAAATGAAGTATTTAATATTGCTGCCTTGCGGTATCTTGGTTAATAAGGCACATAGAATTTCAATGAGACTCGTGTACTCGATAATTTTGGATGGTAAATTATACTCATGTAGGTAAAGATCTAACTTCTGATAATATTTAGGAAGATTATGATTTATATTATTATTGTCAAATTTATCTTTTTTAAAGGCAGGTTCTCTAGCTATTTGTTCTCAAATTTGGAATTTGTTTCATTTAAAGACAAAGAATACAATCGTTATAAATTATCTTCCACTTGCAACGTTGGGAAATTGCTGTCATTAGAAATAATATAATGGTATTTTTTGTCATTTAAATTGAGAATTATTTGACATTTAACAACGAGAATTACCCTTGTAACAAGCTAATTTGATGGGGATAAAGATGATACCTCAAGCATAAGATGATACCTCAAGCATGGGATGGTGTGTTTCTCTCAATGATGGGCAAAATGCATGGGCTCAGTTATGGTCACTAAAGATATTATTAAGACTTTTAATATTTTACCCTTTTGTTTTGTTAAATTACTTATCTAACACACTTAATTTAAGAAAATACATATTTTTTTCAACTCTATCCTCATCACCTTTGTCTTTTCTTGAGTGGGTAAAGAAGTAATTTAACGAAACAGAAAAAAATAAAATATTGTTGGCCTTAGCAATATTCCTAGCGGCGATGACAAAGGCCAAAATGCCCTCGTCATTAAAAATTTTTAACCATGAAACACATAGCGACGGACCATGACGTGACATCCCCTCATTATTTATCTTTCAATGACTAGAATAAGGCCCCCTCATTGTTTATCTTTTAATGTCTGGAATAAGGGTTTTTAACAATAGAATATGCTCTCTTCAATGGATAGTTTTGTTATAGTTATATGTTGCAGAAACACACGAAAATAAATGTTTTTAAATTTAAAGTTACAAAATATATGAAAACTAAAGTTTAAAACTTACAACTACAATTATACTAAACAAAATTTTAATTAGTGCTGTTGAATTTTCAGTGAATAAAATTAAAAACCAAAAATAATAACATCATTGAAAAAACATATGCATATATATATATATAGAAATTTTTAAAAGTAAGGTTTTATTTAGTATGATAGTGTTTTGGTTTTTGGTTTTTTGTTTCCAAAATTTAACAATTAAAATTAAGAATTGAAAACTAAATTAAAATTAAAAAAACCAATTTATTGAGTATAAGCTTTTAGAACTCAACTGAAAACTTACGCTCTATATTGTAAGGGTTTTGGTTTTGGTTTTTGATTTTTTGTTTTAGTTTTTTATATATTTAGTAACTAATTCTATATTTATAAATTAAATTTTATTATAAAAATTTAAATTTATTAAATTGAATTTAAATATAATGTTGGTTAATAAATATATAAAAAATAAAAACTAAAAATCAAAAAAACAATACTATGCTAAACGGAGCCTTAATTAATTTATAAATTAAACTTGTTATTTTTATTTTAGATTTTTAAAATTTTTGAAAACTAAAATTAAAAACCACAGTCAAATTAAACAGAGTTTGACATTTTTGTTCAATAAAAAATAAAATAGATACATAGAGTGAGAGGTTACTTGTGGTGTTGACGATGGCTATTAGAATGTTGCAGACGAACGTTGGTGAAGCCATCGAAACCAAGTTTATAGAGAGAAAGCTATGGATCAAAGAAGGGATGCATTGCCACAACACACTCCTTAGCTTGCCTTATATGGACGCCTAAATTTGGTGGAAAAGGCTTCCACAACACAAATTGAAGCTTGCATCATTCAAAATATTAAGCCAAACAGGACACTCTATATTTTATCCTCTACATAAAATGACAACTAGATATCAATTTTGGTCCCTTAACTTTAGGGTTTTGTACAATTTTCATCTATTAACTATTTTATACCCTTTTTTGGTCACTCAACTCTAAAAAATATTTTTTTTCGTCTGTATATTAGTTAGTCCATTAAGTCATGCATATATACACTTTTTTTTTTTTATCTTGGTTGCACAATAAAAAATAATTATCTCTTATCTCTTATCACACTTAACTTGTATGTCATGCAACTTGAATTCAAAATCTTTTATTTCCAATATAAAGAGATTATTACAAAACTACTTAGATCATTGGTCATATATGCATATTTTTAATTCTTGAACTTCTAGGTTTGGGAACTAAAACTATATATATGCATAAACTTAATGGACTAACTAACTTAATGAATTAATTGACAAAAGGACACAAAAAGTATAGTTTTTAGAGCTAAAGGACTAAAAAAGTATATAAAATAATTTAGAAATAAAAACCATACAGAACCTTAAAGTTAAGGATCAACATTGACATCTAACCTAAAATTACAGCCTCTCCGTCTCGTGGCGCTCTCGACTCCCAAGTCTCCCTTGTTCTCTTGACCATAGTTCATTTGATCTTAATGCAATTTGTGAGTGATGACCATTACATATCTAGATATTAATTTTGATACTTTGTTTTCTCTAAGTAGTAAAGATAGAAGAGAATTATGCGTGAAAGTATATGTTTAAATTTATTTTTTTGAATGTAAACAATTTCAATAAGTAGTACTCACCACCACAAATATATTAATAATAACTTTTATTCATAATCATAATTCCACACAAAAATATCTAACACTTTATACTCGTTAACAATGGGGCACTTTTTTTCTTTTTTTTTTGAAAATAGGCAATGAAATTAATAATGGGGCACTTAGACCTTGAAATATTTTTGCTTTTGTCCGTGTATGGTGTGTTATGTGGAAAATTGACGCGCATTATTGTTGTGATCCTAAAGTCACAGTCAGACGATATAATTGATTTTGGAGTTTTTAGATGCCAGCGGCCAAGACTACTTGGCCACTCCGGCTGCTTGACTTGTCAGCCCGGCGAAAACCGCCCATTGTGGGATCAATCGGTGGGGAAATTTTAAAGTCTGAAGTCATTTCAAAGCATATGGATATTTACAAAATATTACGGAAATTGCTATTACATATTTATTTGAGGTCCCTCTCAATTGCAAAACATAACCATTGAATGGAACAACTCTCAATATTAAAGATTTATTTACTATTTAATAATTTATATTGTGAAATTTAATTTAATTTTTATATTTATATTGGGTTTTTTAACTTATGTTATGGTGCCTTTATTGTATATTTTTATATTAATTTATATAAAAAATTAAAAAAATAAATTTTATATTTAACACTAGGATTATATAAAATATTTTAA